AAAAAAAAAAAAAAAAAATAGAACAAACAGTTGTTAAATATTTAAAATTTTTATTCCTTAATTTTGAAAAAACTATTTCTAATTTTTTTCCTTTATATATACATATATCAAGAAAGGGAGAAGATGAAAAGGAAAAATTTAAGAAAAATATATTTGTATTTCTTTTATTTATAAATAAATATTCAATCTTATTTTTTGTTTTGCAAATAAATATTTACAGAAAAATAGAGGATAAACTCTATAAAAACTTCATATATATGCTTATATTTTTTTTTTTCTTCATTTTAAAAAAAAAAGTTTTTAATTAAAAAAGGAAAATGTATACTTGAAAAATATATATGTATTTTTTTTTTTTTTTTAAATGTGTGCTTTTTCTGTATATTTAAAATTTAACAAAAACGAATTACCAAAAAAAAAAAAGAAAAATAAAAAAATAAAAAAATAAAAAAGTAAATAACGATAATTAAAAAAAATTTTTTTTTATATATATTTAAAAAAATGTAGAGGAATAATAAAGCCAAATTAAAGATTTTTTTTTTTTTTTTTTAAATAAAACACTCAGAAAAACTTAAGAGTTTAAAAAAAAAAAAACTTTGAATAAATAAAAAAAAAAATGTAGTAATAATAAATCAGCAAATACGCTGGATACTAAATAAAAGGATAGTAGGTAAAATAGCTAAAAGGACTAAACAAATATAAGAACCAATTTTCGCATTATTGTACCACGTTGGTTTATTTTCTATGTTTCCATTATACAATATACCAATGCATATCCCTAAAAAAAAAAAAAAATATTAAGTATATGAGTTCTTTTATTGCTATGAATACATGAATTTCATGAAGAGAATTACCTGATAAAAGCCCACCCAAATGTCCAACATGATCAATATTAGAACCATTAAAGGTAAAATAATAAAAAAGGGAAATTAGTGAAAAAAATATAATATTAAAAACAACTCTTTCTCTATGTCTAATAACATGCCATAATAAAACTAATTCAGCTGTTACAACACCAACTAATCCCATACCAGATGTACTAGCACCCACTTTAATAGTACAATAAGTTACAGAAGCTGATAAAATATTCCCATATATACCAGTTAAAAAATATAATATAATAACTTTTATAATACCATAGTTTTTTTCTAATGTAAAACCCATTCTTAATTGAAAAAATATATTAAAAAAGGCGTGAAATATGTTTGCATGTAAAAATATTGGCATTACTAATCTATAAACTTCTCCATTTTTTATTTTTGAAGCAACATTTGCACCTAATGTTATTAATAAACTTTCTATAAAAAAAAAAAAATAAAATAAAATAAATAAAGTTATATAAGTAATAAAGGTATAAAATAGTAACAATATATATATATCCATTAAATGAATTATTATTTCTATTAAATTTATATAATTCATATTATTATATATATATATATATAAATATATTTATCTTATGTTTATATATAAAATATACCAGAAGGAGTTAAAAATTCTGCTGGTTTAATAGTTATTGACACTATAAAAATAACCAACTGTATAATTGAAATAACCACAACAAAACTTTTCCATGTAAAATGAGGAAATATAAGATTAATTACATCAATTGGTTTTGATCTCTGTACAAAACTACTTTGCGACTCATAATAACCTGGAGCTTATCATTTAAAAGTAAAAGGATTAAATAAAAATATACTTGTGGAATAAGAATATATTTTATAATGAATAGTTTAAATAAATATCATTATAAAAATTAAAAAAAATAAATATAAATAAACTGTTAATCTTATTTTATATTTTTCTCATTTAATGTGATTTGCATACTACTATTAAATGGGGTATTTTCAGGGTAGTCATCTCTATACTCAGATAAAGTATGAATATTACTCATCTTCAACTCAATATAATAAAATATTTAAAATAAAAATGTTAAATTTAAAGGAATAATAATTTATATTTAAAGTACAAAAAATATCATAAAGCACATTGATTTAATAAGACTATAAAAACAAACATAATAAAATAAAAAAAAAATATATTAATATTCTAGTAATTCAAAAATCACCCCGAAAAAATAAATGTATATATATTATCAAGCTAAAAACAAATTAAAAAAAAATATATAAATAAAATGAATAAAAAAAAATTTATAATTTAAAACAAAAGTTAATATTTCCTAATATAATAATGCAATTTTACTATATTTCTTTAAAAAAATTTAAATAAATTTTTTTCTTTCGAATTAAAAAAAAATGTGAAAAATAATGCACACGCTATAAAAATAAAAAAAATAACATGAATCAGAACAAAATAACAAAAAAAAAAAAGAAAAAAATGAGAAAAAGGGTCTTAATTAAATGAGCCATTAAATATGACTGAAATTCACATATGTGTTAAATTAACTTTATATATATATATGTTTACATATTAGTATTGTATGTATTTACTTATATATATATCATTTTATTAACTTTTTATTCAAGAATATATAAAACAAAACAATTATTTATAAAGTTTTTATGTTTTTCTTTTAGTTATTAAAAAAAAAAAATTATATATTCACAAAGAAAATTTTATTGCATGTAATTTTTTTTTTTTTCTTTTTTTCAAGATCTATATTGAATTATTCTTTTTATTTTGCAGTTGTAAATATATTTAAAACCTTAATTGTTTTTTAAATAATATTTAAGAACTTAAAAAAATTAAAGAAAAAATTATTTGAATGTCTATCATAAAATTAAATATTAAAAGAGTTGCCGAAGGTTTTATATTAATTTTCTTTAAAGCTGTTTTACAATTTTTCCTCGTATAAAGAAATTTAAGTTTAATAGAATTTAATCTAAAAGCGTTTTCTTTTATTCCATTTAAATTTATTTAAATTTTTTTTTTTATTTTACGTATTAAAAAGATTGCCATGTGGAAGAGTTTGAAAATTGAAACAAATATATAGAAAAATAAATTAAAATAAAATAACATAAAATAAAATAAAAAAATAAGATAAAAATAAAAAGAATATAAAAATAGAAAGATTAAGAATAAAAAAAAATAAAAGAAAATAAGAATAAAAATCATTAAGGGGAACAAAAAAAATATAAAAAAATTAAGAGAAAACAATAATAAAATTTTGTATAAAAAGGTTTTTTTTTTTTTTTTTTTTTTTTTTTTTTTTTTTTTTTTTTTTTTTTTTTTTTTTTTATCATTTTATTCGTTATATAAAAGAAAAACCATAACAGTAACAAAAATAGAATCATTTACATAATTGGCGGAAATATAATTATCTGTTTCAACATTCCAAAGTGATTTTGATGCAATATGTATCTAAAAAAAAAAAAAAAAAATAAAAAAATAAAAAGTTGCAAATAATAAATGTGCATTCAAATAATAATGTCATAAAAATTTTTAAAAAAATTTGAATTTTATTTTATTTTTTTTTTTTCATACCCCCTGTTTTTTATTTTCTCCTATTACACCTTGAACAATAATTTTGTATCTTTCATTAACAAAAGATTTCATGAATTGTTCAACATCATCAACTAAAGATATAACCATTTTATCATAATTGCTTTTAATAATATTATTCTTTTCAGAATAATTGTTTTGATTTTCATTTGAAGAATCATGATTTTCATTAGAAGAATCATGATTTTCATCATTAATGTCAGTTTTTGTAGTGATAATTTTATCTTCTAAATAAAATAATTCATCTTGATTTTTACTACTAAAGAAATTTTCCAAAAATATTTTTAATTTTTCTTCACAAATATTGGCAAAAAATCTAAATCCTTCCATATCTACTTTACTGTTTTCATCATTATTTTTTTCAATCCCATTAGCTTCAACATTTGTTGCATTATTTTTATTCCCTATTTCCATTTTTCTACAACTATGTTTTTATTAAAATATATTTTATTTTCTAATAAAATTTTTTTCTTTTTTTTTAAATATATAAGTCTACGTATTTAAAAATATATATATATATATATATAAATAGCTTATTTCACTGAATACTGAATAATATCATTTTTATTAACCTTTGTGAATCATAATTTCATTTAAAGTTTATAACTTATTTTATAAATATGTGCTTATTTTTTAATTCATATAATTTTATGTTTTTGATTGTAATAGTTCCATTATACAATAACATAAATTTATTCTTATTATATATACTTTTTTTTTTCTAATCCCTTTTTTTTATTTTAGTCATCATTTTTTTTCTTAAAAATTTCTCTTGTTTAATTATAATAGATAAAAAATTAAAATTATCATATTCAGATAAATGTATAAATTTAATGCTGTCTAATGTCATCTAAAGATTTATAAATAAAAATATAGGCATCACTATTTTCCTTTTTTTTTTTTTATTTCAATAACCAATAAAAAGAAAAAAGAAAAATGAAAAAAGGAAGAATAAATTATTATCAGTGAAATATTTTTCTTAACATGTGCATACAAAATAGCTTTAAAAAAAAAAAAATAAAAAAAAAATAATAATTTTTTGTGCTATAGTGATTAATCAATCAATAATGATTAAGGTATTTTTCATATTTAATATCAAAAATAAAAAAATTTAATAGATGAGTCTTCTTTATTGAAAAAATTTATTTATATATACAAAAAGAATGGATAAAATAATGTTATTTTCCTCTTTAAGGAAGAAAAAAATTAAAATTAAATCTGAAATATCTACGAATGTTAAAGAAATAATAATTTATATAAGAAATAAAACATATAATATAGTGATTAATGAAAAAAAACTATCTCTATATATAATATCCATATTTTTTATTGATATGCTCATGTAATTACGCATAACATTTTTTAATTTTTTTTCTCGTCTTAATAATTTTAGATAGAATAATAATGTTAAGAAGAAAAAAAATGTTTATTTTTTGTCTAACCTTATTTTTTTTTGATATAGCTATCAAAAAATAAAGAAAAAAAAAAAAATTAATATTAAGATATTCTTCAAAAAATAAATGATAAAATATATCTTACGATATAAATAATATAAAAATATAATGATAACGATACTTTAGTAATTAAAATATAATAAATGAATTGCTAATAATGTATTATTATTCCTATATTTACTTTTAATAATATTACTAAAGGTTATTAAATAATATAGCACATAACAAATATTAAAACTTAACTATTAGATGATATGTATATTCTTAGGAGGTTTATATATTATAAAGTTGTAACTAATAGTAAAATAAGTAAAATGAAATTAATAATAAGCAATAAATTTATATGAATAACAGTAGTTTTTTTTATCTAACAACTTGTAAAATTAGAAAATTAAAAAATATATGAAAATGAAAAATATAAAAGAAATAAGATTAAAATATAGAGATTTTTAATTTTTTTTTTTTTTTAACGAAAAGGTGTATTAAAAATATAAAGAAAAAAAAAAAAAAGTGTCATTTTAGTAAGTTTTCATTAATTTAAAAACTTATAATTACTTATTTCTTTTTTTTTTAATGTGAAAAAAGGAAGAAAATAGAAGGTGTTTAATTCAAAAAGTATTTTTTTTTTTTTTTTTTTTTGAAATAAGACAATACAAACCTTAGAAATGTCTATATATATGTATAAGGAAAAATAAGATACATGAAAATGAACATTTGACATTTTTTCTACATTATTTTAATTTATTTATAGATTTATAAATAATGGTAATTCTTTATATATAATATTTATAGGAAAATAAAGTATTAATGAGAAAAATTCATATAATTTTTATCTTTTTATAAATTCGATTTATTAGTTATTATATATATATTTTTTTTTAATATAATATTATATATGCGTATTTATTTTTTTTATTACTTTTTAAAAGAAAGAAAATTTATGAAATTTGTTACCTTGTCTTACAAAAATACATACACATCATATTTTGTTAAATTTCTTTTTATTATTAAATTAATATATTTTAGTGATCATTAAATTTTTATAATACTATTACATTTTTTCTTCATCATTAATATATAATAGAATATTATTAAATTTAAATAAATGTTACTTTTATTATAAGATAGACATGAATAAAATATATATATATATATATAATACTTAACATTAAAAAATTTTTAAATCAATAACATTATTAATTATACATTAAATTTCACATTATAATAATTTTTTTTTTTTTTTTTTTAATTTGTAATTCTTTTTCTTTTTTTCTATATTTTTTTTTTTTTTTTTCCCTTTCTTTAAATGTGTATTTTATTTCATAATGCTAAAAAAAAAGAAAGAATATACTAGTATTAATATAGAAGAAAATATTTTGAAGAAAAAAAATACAGATAACAAAGAAACTATTTTGAAAAAGAAAAATAGTATAATTTTTGAAGACACAAAAAAAGAAAGGAATGAATTAAAAGATATAAATAATGATTCCTCAAATGATGTAAAAAATTATAGCACTGATGAAAAAAAGAAGGTTAATAAAAAAGAAGAAAAAACTAACAATAATGAAAAGAAAAATATAAAAAAAAAAGAAGAAAAAATAAATATAAAAGAAGCAATAATCAAAAATGTTCGAGTTCCAGATAATTATGAAATAAAACATTTAATAGGAAGAGGATCATATGGCTATGTTTATTTAGCTTATGATAAAAATACAAAAAAAAATGTAGCAATAAAAAGAGTTAATAGAATGTTTGAAGATTTGGTAGATTGTAAAAGAATATTAAGAGAAATAACAATATTAAACAGATTAAAAAGTAATTATATTATAAATTTATATGATTTAATAATACCTGAAGATTTGTTAAAATTTGATGAGTTATATATAGTATTAGAGATAGCAGATTCTGATTTAAAAAAATTATTTAAAACACCTATATATTTAACAGAAGAACATATAAAAACTATTTTATATAATTTGTTACTTGGTGAAAAGTATATTCACGAATCAGGTATTATACATAGAGATTTAAAACCAGCTAATTGTTTATTAAATCAGGATTGTTCAGTTAAAATATGTGATTTTGGATTAGCTAGAACTATAAATGCAGAAACAGATATTCATGTAGTGAGGGATATAGAAGAAAAAGAAGAAAATGAAGAACCTGGTCCTCATAATAAAAATTTAAAAAAACAATTAACTAGCCATGTCGTTACAAGATGGTATAGAGCACCAGAACTTATTTTACTACAAGAAAATTATACTACTTCAATTGATATATGGTCTACTGGGTGTATATTTGCAGAACTATTAAATATGTTAGAAAGCCACATAAATAATCCAACTAATAGGTTTCCATTATTTCCTGGTTCTTCTTGTTTTCCATTATCTCCAGATCGTAATTCAAAAAAAGTTCATGAAAAAAGCAATAGAGATCAACTAAATATAATTTTTAACGTAATTGGAACTCCAACAGAAGATGATTTAAAAAGCATAACAAAGGAAGAAGTTATTAAATATATTAAATTATTTCCATTTAGAAAAGGTATTGACTTTAAAAAAAAATATCCTTCAATTTCAGAGGAAGGTATTGATTTGTTAGAATCTATGTTAAAATTTAATGCAAAAAAAAGAATTACAATTAATAATGCTTTAAGTCATCCTTATTTAAAGGATGTTAGAAAAAAAGATTTAGAAAATTTTTCAGCTAAAAAAATTATACTTCCTTTTGACGATTGGATGACGTTATCAGAAACACAACTAAGATATATTTTTTTAAAAGAAATTCAATCTTTTCATTCAGATCTAGTTATACCATCTAATTTAATGATTCATGAAAACAACTTTTATAGTTCTAATATATAAAAACCTATTAATTATGTAATCACTTAATTATTTTATTTGTTTTATTCACTTTATCATTTTGACATAAATTGATTCATTCACATATTTATTTTTTATTTGTTTTTCTCTTTTGACTTTTTTCAAAATAAATAAATATATATATTTTAATAAAATTAAAAATAAATTATAATAAATTATTAATATTTTTAAAAATTAATTTTTTTTTTTTTTTTTTTTTTTTTTTTTACATATAACATTTTAT